CATATCCTGATAATAAAGAAAGATTGATCATATCCAGTAAAGAAGTGCCAATTAAGGGTACAACTTCTTCAAGCAGCCTAGTTGGGATTGCATTTAAATAACAAACTCCCGCTCTAATGTGAGGACCACTGGCAAAATGAAACAGTGTGTACTGTTGAACTCTTTGAAGAAAGTTTTTAAAAAGGATCCCAGTGTAAATTATTTTTCGAGTTCAAAATAAAACAACTTAGCTGAGCATCCTTTTGTAAATATATATTTTTGTAAATAATATTTTTATATAGACAAGAAAATGGTCCTTTAATGAATGATATCATCAGTTCATATTGGTGATCATAAATTCAGCTATTTTCATTTGTTCCGCAGCTTGCATCTGCTTCTGCCTCATTGTGGCTCGCACTCACCTAAACTTTACACGCCTCTCTCTCGTCCACCAACACACTCAAACACACACTCACACCCTCCAAAGCTTTAATTAAATCAGCAAATGAATATTCGTATCCAGGTCATGCTGACCCTCTGCATACGTAGCCATTCATCTGGGTGTGCAAATGAAAAGCAAACCCTTCTGCATCCCAATCAGCTCGCAGCAGGACATTTAGGATGAGGAGAGTGCTTGCTGCGTGACGGGACGAGGCTGCACACTTTAATGGGTTCGCTAGTGGACTGAGAAATGTTGTCTTTAATTTAAACATCTTGGATACTTTTATATATAAATTGTGTGCACAGGAGCTGTCACATGACAGACAAAAATGTTTTCTTACAGTTAAAAATCGGAAAATCAAACCCCATTTTTCACTAATTTTCCAACAATAGCCATTAACTATATTTAAATTCAGTATTTGTCTCTCTATACAGTAGTTTTCATTGTTAGCGGCGGAGTCCGCCATTCCTGTGCCCAAATCAGATTGCCTTCCCACGCACAAGGGATCCACAGGAAAGAGATGTTTTATCTCATTCATAACAGCCTCACGGTTTACTGTGTCAGAGCTGAATGAAGTCACTGCTAATGCAAACACAACATCCTGCTCCTGCTGCTTCACATTAGAAGCATTCAACTGGTGAAACACAAGGTGGCTTTTATTGTGATGCAGCCGCATTAAGTCTTGACAGAAAGAGGCACATACTGAATAACTGAATAAATACAGTTTCAAGATGTGACATCAGCTGACCCCCAAACTATTGGGACTGGGAGTTCTCAACATCCATCAAAAACATTTTATTTTAAAGTACAAAAAGTACTATGAGACTGTCAAAAAACATCCCACGCACTGTTGATCACAGGAACCAAGCTGCTGCACTTAACCTTTTGTACCTTCATTAAAAATGTAAAGCTTCCAAGGACTGAGTTTTCCTACAGCAGTCTCATGAAGAAAGCTTTGTATGATGGAAGCACCAGCATTTGTTTAAAATCCATCCAAATTTGCATTGATAAAATCTGCGCATAAAAGGAAAAGCCCCACTGAGAATTCTGGATTCTGATTGGCTGGAAGGCGTTGATTTACTTTTAGTAACCAACGGCAATGAACCGACACATATATTTGTTTGCATTTCCAAATAAACACGGCAGTAATAAACTGTAGCTGATGAGCAACAGGGAAGCGTATTTGAGTCTGGACATCAAAATCAACCAAAGGCAGGAGGACAGAGAGATCTTTTAAAATAACTTTAGCTGTGAAAGAGAGTGAGATTTAATTGAGTTGTGGCTCAACAACAACACATAACTATATTTATTATATTTATTTACTAAGCTGTTTATAAAGAATTCCTTATTTCTAGTTTTAAGATTGAATCGTTCTTTGCTTTGTGATTAGCAAAGTGTTGTTTCTTTTCCTATTTACTGTGTATATTTGTTATGAGCTGCTACAAACAATCAGAAATACTAACGTTCTGTACAATATGTTCCTTAAAAAAACAACAACCTCCGGTAGAAAGCTGTTACATATAAGACATTTCTCTGCTGCCGTGACTGTCTCAGTGTTGTGAAAACCTCCTCCTGTTTGGTGTGCTTTTTAACTGTTTGCACAGAACAGAGGTTAACTACTGAACCTTAACACAGTGTGCACCATTTATTTTCCCAGGCTTCAGCCTGAATGTCCACCTGTGTATTTTCCAGGTCAGTAGTTTGGGGTCAAAGTGCAAGGCAGTCTTAAATTGTGTAATTAAGTGTGGACTTTTCAGTGACAAATACTTAAGAGTTAATGTTTAATATGCACAAATATCTAATAATCATACTAGGAAAATTGTTTTCACTGAACTGTGCAAATAAAATTGATGATTCTAAGAATTACTGGACGCAGGAAACTCTCCTTTTTGTCCCTGCCTCAGACACACACTCACACACACCTGCCCACCTGCCCACAGCGAGAACCGTGATCTCTCCTTGTTGGCTGCGCCGGTTTTCCGTCTTACGGGCCGACGGCCTCCTCATCAGCGGCCATTTCTTCTGGCTGCAGCGGCTGCAGATGTTCTTGTTGCCGCCCGCGCCGCCGATGGTGTGCAGGTGGTTGCAGGTGTGCTTGGCGGCTCCTAGCGGTGCACCCGGTGATATGGGAGTCATCGGAGGGGTGGGGATGGGGGTGTCGGGAGAGGTGGGGGTGAGCGGGGGACTAAAAACGGAGAAAGCGGACATTAGTGATCGAGATTGAGGGTTTTATTTTAGATGCACATTTTAAAAAAAACCCTTCTGCTTCTGCAACAACACATTATTGTTATTAATATATTACAGTACACGATTACTCCTTAATATGATATGAGCTGCTGAATGACTACAGCCTGTTTTCACTAGCAGTACAATCAAAATAATGTTAATCAGCCTCTGAACAATAGTTATGCAACAAAGAGAGTAATGAACCAAGAAGTCTTTTGTAGGTCAGCACAACATCAAAAGATGAAATGAAATGAAAAGTAGTGCTTTTTCCAGATCAGCTATCAAAAGTGCAGCATTGAGAAGTGAGGCCTTTCTCAAACTACCAACCGAGCTACATTCAGTGCGAAACATTTTCATTTAACGGCGAGAATTGCATTCACTGAATTCTGCGGCGCTTCCTTTATCACGGTGTTAATGATACTTTAATGTCTCGTACTTCAACAAGGCAAAAACAATTACTGACATGCTCTGAATGGTGATTGCGTTTAATAATAACAATGGAAGCAATTTCCTGTGCGAGCAGGAGTCAGGTGAGGTGTTGGACACCTGATCAATTACATATAAGACAACAAACCGGTATAAAGAAGTCAAATTGATAGGAAGGGCGCCACGACACATACCGATTCTCTCCACTTTCATATAGTGTTTATATCTGTATATGTGTTAGCAGAGAATATTTGTCTGTTTGCTCTCTCACACATCTTTTTGTTTAAAGGAACTGTGTGTACATGTTGTATGACCCTGCAGCTCTTCACATTGTTCAAACAAAAAGGTGGAATAAACAGTACTCCTTTTCACTGACATAAACATATAATATACGGTATGTCCGCTCATTGTTCTGTCTGTCCCTTGACATGCATGCACAGGCAAAGGCCTCTTTGATCTCTCTCATCAGAAAAAGAGAGAGGATTGCACAAAGATGCACAAGTGTAATATTCTCGTGTACAGAGCGAGGATTCCTGACGAGCAGAGGTATGAAACATGAGTTTGATCCACAGGAGGGCG